TCTCCTCACCTCCCCCCAGTCTCCTCACTCCTCACCCCTCACCCCAGTCTCCTCACTCCTCACCTCACCCCAGTCTCCTCACTCCTCACTCCTCGCTGCTCACCCCAGTCTCCTCACTCCTCACTCCTCACCCCAGTCTCCTCACTCCTCAACCCTCACCCGAGTCTCCTCACCCTTCACCCCTCACCCCAGTCTCCTTACCCCTCACCCCAGTCTCCTCACACTTCACCCCTCACTCCAGTCTGTCTCACTGCATCTTCTTTAGATGGCTGAATCTGACCCTGGGGAAAGAAACTGCGACAACATGCTGAAAATGCTGTCCGACCTGAATAAAGACTTGGAAAAGATATTGGAAGAGATGGAGAAAATCTCAGGTAGGCTGTTTTCCCAGGCAGGGTGCCTTGGCCCTTCTTTCCAGTAGCTCACATCCTCCCTATACTTTCAAGCTCAAATCAAGTGCCTTCTTACTAAGGCCTTTCCTGACCACCTCTCAACTTCTATACCATGTAACAATTGTACCACAGAAATTGACACTTTCCACTGAATAGTGCCTTGAATTATTTTCTAGTTATTTTATGTGTTTGTATCTAATTACTGCAATTGGACTATTATCTTTTTGAGAGCAGAAATAATAACTAGGCACACACACAGTACCAGACCTAAGCTCAAGTATTCAGCAAATGACAAATGATCCTATCTAATAAAAGAGTAATATGCAAATTGACCATCACCCCAACATACAAGATGGCCATCCCCATCTGGTCATAAGATGGCTGCCACAAGATGGCCAGCAGGGGAGGGCAGTTGTGGGTGATCAGGCCAGCTGGGGAGGGCAGTTGGGAGGGACCAGGCCTGAAAGAGAGGGCAGTTGGGAGCAATCAGGCCTGCAGGGGAGGGCAGTTAGGGGTGACCAAGCTGGCAGAGGAGGGCAATTGGGGGGATCAGCCCTGCAGGGGAGGGAAGTTTGGGGGAACCAGGCCTGCAGGGGAGGGCAGTTGGGGGCAACCAGGCCAGCAGGGGAGGGCAGTTAGGTGTGACCAGGCCTGCAGGGGAGGGCAGTTAGGGGTGACTGGGCCAGCAGGGGAGGGCACTTAGGGGCAACCAGGCCAGCGGGGCGGGGGGCAGTTAGGGGCAATCGGGCCAGCAGGGGAGCAGTTAGGTGTCGATCAGGCTGGCAGGGGAGTGGTTGGGGCAATCAGGCAGGAAGGCAGGCAAGCGGTTGGGAGCCAGCAGCCCTGGATTGTAAGAGGGATGTCCGGGATCGGGCCTAAACCAGCAGTCGGACATCCCTTGAGGGGTCCCAGATTGGAGAGGGTGCAGGCTGAGCTGAGGGACACACTCCCCCATGCACGAATTTTGTGCACTGGGCCTCTAGTATTAACATAACATCTGTGAACAAAATTGCCTGGTAAAATGCCGTGAATCATCTAAATAAAGAGTTCAGAGTAAAAGTGCTAAGAGTGGTAAGATGCTGATGAGAGGTATAGCTCAGTGGAATAAAGCAGCAATAGAGTTGAACAAATGTCTCCATTTTTATAAAAGAATATTAGTCTGTTATTTTATTCAACACTAGGGGTTCAGTGCACGAATTCGTGCACCTTGCAAGGAACTGTGGGCCGCTAGGCTGAGGTGGGCACAGGGGTGGGTCTTGGCCCATCCTCCACACTCCCGCCCAACCCCTCCTGTCACAGACCTGCTCCCACTGCTGCCGCTCCCACCACTGATGGCGCCAGCCTGCTCACACCGGCTGACAGTGTGGAGCGATTGGGACCAGCGCCAGCAGCGGGTGTGAGCAGGGTTGGCACCATCAGTGGGTGCCAGTGGCAGCTGCTGTCCCTATCGCCCCTCAGGAGCAGGGGGAGGTGGAGAAGACCTCAGGTGATGGGGCCAGCAGCCGCCACTTGCATCCACTGATGGCGCTGAGCGATCGGGACTGGTGCTAGGCACTGGCAGTGGTTGCAAGCAGCAGCTCCAGTGCAGCTGCAGATATGAGTGGGGCTGGCACTGGCAGCAGGTACAAGGGCCGGCCAGGACCATGGCATGGGGAAGCAAAGAATTTTCAGTAACCACCAAAGGCTCACCCCAATGACAGCGACTGGCACCCCGCCTTGGTCTGGCACCCCCACTCACTTGCTCCACCATCCTGCCGCAGCCGATGCCTGTCATGTTGTGCATGCACCCCCTGATAATCAATGCACATCATAGCGACCAGTTGTTCGGTTGTTCTGCCATTTGGTCTATTTGCATATTATGGTTTTATATATAGAGATGTTTCCACTAAGTGGTAACCAGCAGTGGTAGTAATACCATTATAATGTCTTTGATTTGTTCTTTACTAATTCAGAATATGTATAATTCTTATAATTTGTGAGCCTAAGTTTTGCTAGAGAAAAGCATAATGTAAAACAAATTTTAGAAATCATGCATACTCTATTCAAATGAAAACAAACTACTTTTAAAGGCATTATTTGTTTGAAAATAATCTCCATTTATTACAACAGCCTATAGAAAATTTCTACTTAGAAATGTTTGTAATATTTTTGCCTGTGTACTTGAAAATTTCTTATATTTTTTAAAACTACCTTTTTAAAAAGTTGTAGAATTCATTTTCTACTATAAGCTATGTAGTAATTCCTTCAGTCTAATTAAATATTCTCTTATTTAACAGCATTTGCTGAGCATCTACCATGTGCTATTCTAGGAATAAAAAGTTGAAGAGATGCTCCTTCATTAGCGAAGTGGATAAAAGCCAGAAACAGACATCAAGATAAATAAATATAATTTAAACATATAAATTAAACTTAAAACACAATTTTTATATATAAAATCATAATCTGGCAAATGCTAATGGCATACATTGAGCACTTGGAAGGGAGCAGAGAAAAAGGAGAAGCTAACTGGGGAGGCAAGAGAGGCATTAAACAGAGCATTTGTGAGGTCAATATAATTTCTGTTTCCATATATCCTTTATTGGTAAGTGGGGGTCCCACCTGGGCTCCTCTCTACATAGACTTTTCTAAGTAGCTTCCACAGATCAATTTGACTTTTACAGTAATAATAAAGACATTTGTAACTCAAGTTGGTAACACTTTGAATCTGTGCTTCAGGGTAACACAGCGCAGATCAGAGACAGTAACTAGTGGATTCTGTGTCTTTGGTGATGGTACAAGCTTCACCCTTTCATCAAACTCTGTTTTCTTTAATTTCACAGCCAGTAGATCTTTGTTATCTGCATGGATCCATCTTTTTTATGGTCCAGCCTGTAGTGCTTTCGTGAGATTGGATTTTCTGAGCAGCAAAGGTGCTATGGGTGGTGGAGGTAGAGGCAGAGAAGGGGGCGGAGAGGGTGCAGGTGGTGATTAAGGAGAAGAAAGATGGTCAGGTGACTGTGGCGGCAAGGGAGGGCGTACGGCTCAGGATTCTCCAGAGGTTGTCAGAGCACTGGCGGGCACATTTGTAGGTTTACCACTCATGTGGCATGTTTGACCACAGGTTGTACAGGAAGAATTTTCCGAGACAGTCTTCAGTACTTCCTGAAGCCATCATAATTCACTTTCCCTTTTTTTAAAAAATTCAATGTATTGGGGTGACATTGGTCAACATTGGTCATACAGGTTTCAGGTGTGGGTTTCTATGTTAAAAGATCTATATATTGCACCATGTGCCCACCACCCAAAGTGAAATCTTCTCCTGTCACCATATATTAGGAATAATTCACTTTCCAAAATGCAAAACTGTTGTTTAAGACTATGAAGTTCTCAGTGGCTAAATGGGATGGAAAGATGGTATCTTTCAATACTTCTAAACTCTGGGCTATGCAGTTTTAGCACCATTTGTATATAGACCATCGTCTATTTGTCCAGTGTTTTACTGCATCTTTGAAATTGGGAAATTTGAAATTCCAGGGTGATCTCAGCCAGCTTCTGCTAAGGAGTGTGTGTATCTGTTGAAGGAATAACCACTCTTTCAGGTGAGGGTGGCAGGGTAGGGAGGTTGCAATTAGCTTGGACACAACTAATAAGTTGCTTATTAGTTGTGAGAGGCTGCTTTTTAAAAAAAAATTGTTTGCTTTCCGCTTTCTTCTTCATTATTTGAACTTGGGCATGATTTTAATCTAAGAGCCCAGGGAAAAGATAGAGTCCAGGCAGTAGCCTCACCCTTGCCATAAAGAAAAAATCAAAATTAAAACCTTATGGTAAAGAGACCAATTCTAACATGGTCTTTCTACAATTAGTTCTCCCTATAGCTTGTATCTTACTTTTTAATCTTAAGACTATATTATGAAGACCTTTTCTGGTATCCATGTGTACATCTTATTTACTACTTTTAACTGCACTATAATATCCCATGGAGAGCTACTACTTTTTGCTTCTCCATTCATCCCAATGATGGACACTTAATTGCCTACAACTCTTCATCACCAAAAACAGTACTGCAGTGAACATCTTCATACATCTATGCCCATGGATCAATACTTTTAGGGGACACTACCAGATAACCTCACAGAATGTCTGATTCAGAACTTACTTCCACCAGCAGTGCCTAGGGGTTCTTAGATACCACAAGCTCACAAACACTTGATATTATCCAGCTTTCTAATTTTGCCAGTATAATGCGTGTAAAATGATAGCTGAGTGTTTTCATTTTTATTTCTCTGATGAATTCCAGACTATTCTCATATGCTTGTTAGTCTTTTGGGTTTCCTCTTATGGAACATAAGAAATAGTATACCGTAAATACTTAAAAATATGGACACTGGTGCTTGATTACCTGGGTCAAATGCTGCCTGTGCCACTTATTAGTTGTGTAATCTGGCTAATTCCACTTCTGAAAAGTAAAGATAATTATACTAGTGGTATCTACAGCTTAAATTTTAAATAATTTTTTATTAAGGTGAAATGTACATAACATAAAATTAACCTGTTTAAGTATAAATTTGATGAAATTTAATATATTCACAATGTTATGCAGCCACCAACTCTGTCTGGTTCCAAAACATTTTCATCACCCATAAAGGATGCTCTGTACCCATTAAGTGGTGGTTCTCATACCTCTCTATCCTTGGCCCCTGGCAACCACCAGTCTGTTTTTACTTTCTATGAATTTACCTATTTTGGATACTTTATATAAATGATTCCTATAATAGTATGTGATACTTTGTTTCTGGCTTCTTTGACTTAGTATAACATTTTCGAGGTTCATTTCTATTTTAGCATGTATTAGTACTTTACTCCTTTATATCCACGAATAATATTCCATTGTATGAATGTCATATTTTTAATTATTCATTCATCCATTGATGGATATGTCCACCTGTTAGCTATTGTGAATAGTGCTGCTGTGAACACATGTGTACAAGTATTTGTTTTGAGTACCTGGTTTGCAATTGTTTGGTGTATTACCTAGGAGTGGAATTGCTAGGTCATATGGTAATTCTATGTTTAGCTTTCTAAGGAATGTCAAACTGTTTTATACAATGGTGCACCATTTCATAATCCCTCCAGCAATATACAAGATTTCTCCACTTCCTTGCTAATACTTGTTATTTTCCAGGGTTTTTAAAAAATTATTGAATTTCCTGTCTTATCAATTTGAAATAGTTTCTTATATATTCTTGATATTAACCCATTATCAGCTTTATGCACTGTAAATATCTTATATTCTACCATTTTTATGAAAACTTTGTCCATATTGTCCTTAGTTTTAAAAATTTTATAAAAATAAATCCACCAAATTTTACCTTATGGTTTGTGGTTTTTAAGAAGTCCCTACACCTGCTAAATTTTGATCTATAAATGTTATTTGTACCTTTCATACTTATATCTTTAGTATATCTGGAGTACACTATCCTTTTTTCATTGATTTTTTGTGTGTGTGTTATTTCATCATGTGCTAAATTCCCATATATACTTAGGTCTATCTCTGAGCTTACTTTTTTCTTCCATTGGCCTATTTGTCTGTACCACACTATTTTTAAAATAGGAATTTATAAGTTGTCTTGATATCTAATAAGGCATATTCCCCCTTTTAACTTTCATTTTTTAAGATTGACTTAGTTTTTAAATCTTAATTTTTTCATACTAGAGACGCAGTGCATGAAATTTCATGCATGGTTAGGGTCCCTAGCCACTGCTGGCTGCCAGCTACCGGCTGCCGGCTGCCGGCCGGGGCCACCCTTCCCCCGGCTGCCTGCTACCACCACTAGCCGGGGAGGGGCCGTGGATGGTTGGCCGTTGGCCCCATCTCTGGTCAAACTCCCAGTTGAACTCCCAATTGAGGGGACAATTTGCATATTAGGCTTTTATTATATAGGATACATTCTTATAATTTATAAATACTGATAGTTTTACCTTCCAATCCTTACACCATTTCTTTTTTTCTATTCCATTTTCCAGCATATCCAATAACAGTAATATTAGTAGAAGCACCCTTGTTTGATACCAGTCTTATAGGGAATGTATCCACAGTTTCTCCATTACGTATGAGTTTGCCATAAGTTTTTGGTATATCACCTTTAGTAAGTTAAAGATGTCTCCTTCTCTTCCTGATTTGTTAGAGTTTTGATTGTTTAAAATCACAAATAGGTATTATTAAACTTTATTACCTGCCTTTTTTGCATTGAGATATTTCTATTATTTCCCTCTTTTTATAAATGTGGTTAATTATAGTGATTGAATTTCTGATGTTTAAGCATCCTTGAATTTCTTTCACAAATCCTGCTTAATCATAACATATTATCTTAGTACACTATTAGATTTCATTAGCTCATGTTATATTTAGGATTTCACATCTATATTCGTGTGAGGTAGACCTATAACTTTTCTCATGTTGTCTTTGGTTTTGGAATAAACCAGCTTAGAGAAAATTACGTATTTACTAGAGGCCCAGTGCATGCATTCGTGCACATTGAAAGGAAGTTAATTAGAAGAAATATTTTAGAGGCCAGGGAGGGATCGCAGGAGGGTGGCTCCAGCGAGTGTCCAGCCTCTCTCATCCAGCCCTGATCGGCTGGACCCCAGCAGCAAGCTAACCTACCAGTCAGAGCCTCTGCCCCCTGGTGGTTAGTGCACATCATAGCGACTGGTCGAACGGTCGAATGAACAAACACTTAGCATATTAAGCTTTTATTATATAGGATTTTTTCTTATCTCTATTCTCAAATTTTCTGCTATATAAGTGGAATGCCACTAGGAAATGCTTTTCTTAAAAAATCACACCAGCCCATATACTGAGATTATTAGTCTTCCTTCTTTTCCTAATTTTTTGAATTACTTGTATTAGATAAGCATTAACTGTTCCTTAAAAATTTGGTAGAATTTCACCCATTTACATTTTAAAACGTTGCTTGGTCTGTTTTGCCAATTATTTGAATTAGCTTGTGACCTGTGACCTCCAGGCTTGTCATCATCCCATTTCCTGGTCAGCTAGCCCTCTTATCTCATTCCCTTGCTCTCTTCCAATTCTACTTTCCAGACTCCCAAAGCAAATCCACTTACTGTATCACTAGTTAGTTCTCCTCTCTCCTAAACAGATTTTTGGGACACTATCCTCATCCTTTACTAAATTCTGCATCTAGGTGCTGTCCACCAATGGTCATTGGTGCCAATTCAAACGCTAACAGGAAACCCTAATTTGGAGTGAAGAAGGAAACTTTCTTTGGTGCAAACAGCTCCACGGTAATACAACGTGACTATGAAAACAGTACTGCTGTGGAACAGCTCCACGGACTGCGTCACAGCTGCCCTGGGCCAGGCCCCTCTTCAGCAAGGAAGCTCTGCTGTGAGGTGGTGTTCAGGGGCAGTCTTTGGGAGGCTGGGAGCTGGCTTATAGAGACAGAAGTCCCAGCCCCTCGTCCCTGATTGGTCAGAATAGAGCTGCTCCAATTGGTCTGAGCTGCACAGCTCCGATTGGATTGGGAAAGCCTCAGTCCTAATGGCTGAAATACGAGTCCAGGAACTCCTTTATAAGGGGTGGCTCCACTAGCAGCAGTACATGCAGGCAGGCAGTGCAGAGGCTTCTCCTTGGCTTGAGAACCCTTCTATGCAGAATCTGTGCAGAATGGCTGCTAGGCTCTGCTTTTTTTTTTTTTTTTTGCCCAGGTAGCCACCAGGAGCAGTTCTTGGTCCTCAGAGTTCACAGCATACAACTTGACCATTGTTTCTTAATTTCCATGCAAGGACCTTGGCTTTACCCAGTGGGTTTTCAAAGTGTACAGGCAAGTTCTGGTTAGCCTCTCAGAATACCTGCTGTTCAGGTCCCACCACTGATTATGACCTTGGCTTTGCTACTGCACAATCCTTACCAAAAAACCCCAGAGGGGGCCTGCCCTCACTACCTGACTTGTAATATGACTCCTCCTACCCCATTTCTCTATCACAGCACACACTACTTATTTCCTTCACAGCACCTTTCACAATTTGAAATTGTCTTGTATGTTTATCTGTCTCCTCCCACTGCAACTAGTATAGATAGATACTGCATGAGGGTAGGGGGTGTCTATCCTCTGTACAGCTTTATTGTCATGGCTGCCTGATAAAATGCCAGCATAAAGGAGGTGCTCAATAAATACTGAATGAATGAAAACTCGAGACATATATTGCTTGAGAGTGTTCTGGTGATTGAGTTCTGTTCTATGTATTCTATATACTTTTTCTTGGATCAAATCAGAAGAGAGCTGTGCACTTGCTGTTGTGTTTTGGTGTCTCATTGAAGTGCCTTTTCTGAACTGTGCTTTGTTGCTATGCCACTGGCTTTCTTTCACCTGTGATTACAATTATAGTCATGGAAGAATACCTTGCGTTTAAGGTAGGATGTCATCAAGGGCATTTTCAACTACATTACACTTCTCATAAAATATACCTATAGGACAGGTTTTTTTTCTTAGGATAAAAGATTCTTATACAGTGAGTTTGTTTTTATTTTATGGTCACTGAGTCTTGTAACTGATCGTGTTTCCTTTTCTGCTTTGGCCTTAGGAAACTCAGCTGGAATTCCAGCTGCATTATAGGATTATATGAGATTCATTTCTGTGAGCATTTTTTTATCTTGAATTTTAATTTCTTACCTACCCTAACTCTTTGCCCTAACTACCTCAATTATTTATTTTATAGTAAAAGTTCCTTCTTTCTTGAGCACCTAAAATGTGCTAGGCAGTTTACTTAATCTTCAAGGGGAGTCATGAGATTGGGACGTTGTCAGACCCTTACAGATGAGAAGGCTGAGGTGAACAAGTTTAAGTCACTTGTAGGTGCCACAGCCAGCAAGTGGAGAGTTGGAATAAAACTCTCTCAGTTCATGTTCCACCTGCTGTCCAGTTGGTCTGAAAGAATGGTCAGCAGCCTCCCACCCACCCACACCAAAGATGCTTGTTAAGATGCAGGTCCCTGGGCACCATTCCCAACTTGCTAGACAGAACCTTTGAGTTGTAGGAGGGGCCAGCAGTCTACATCTTAACAGGTGTCCCAAGGAACTCCCATGCTTCCGAAAGTTCAAGAATTCCTGCACTTGCTGTACAGTCATAGCCCTCTGTCTGTTGAGATACTATGCACACCTTTTCTAACAACTCTTTCTGTCATGCAGAAGGCTTAGGACCCTCGTTCTTTGTAGTTCTCGAGGGCAGAGCCATACTAATGGGGTGGGTACTACAGAGAAAAGGGGGTGGAGTTTCTGTACAAGCAGCACATGTTCACCTGTAGGCCCAGGGACACTGCCCTCAAGTTGCTCTTAAAGGGAAAGGGGCAAGGAAGTCGGGTCAGTGTAGTGTGAGCACCAGAGGACACCTAATGTGGGGTGCAGCAAACCTTCCCAGAAGGAGAAGCTCTGGACTGGCCTTTTAATTAAAGCACAGAGATGCCCGGGTGGAGGTGGACAGGCATTCAGGCCACTGAGCACGAGGTAACATGAGACTCGGGGCCTTGCAGGAGTGGGAGTGGTCAGCCATACCTGAGCCTGTGAGCTTGGTGGGTGTTAAGACTTCTTAAGGGTCACCCTTCAGCCACTAGCTGTGAACTGTGGCTAGGTAACGGTCTGTGTTTGCTCTCCTTTTTCCTAGCATTTCGTATCAGAGTGGCCTGCAGCCTTTTAGTATCATGGCTAATATATCCAGAAGTTAAGACTTGTGTGAGATTAGGGAAGTTTCATTACTGCTCTGTGAAGGGAGTAGTTTTAATCAGGGGGGGGGTAGGAGTGGGAGGTTGTGAGCCCTGTATCAAGTGGCTGCCCAGCTTTCTCTCCTTAGAATAGTTGGATCACTCAGCCTGGTATGGTCCCTGGGGTGCTCCGGCACCACAGCCCCATCCTGGGGCCTGACCAGGCCTGTCTGGTTGTTGCAGTGCAAGCCACATGGATGGCCTACGACATGGTGGTGATACGCACCAACCCCGCCCTGGCAGAGTCCATGCGCCGGCTGGAGGACGCCTTCCTCAACTGCAAGGAAGAGATGGAGAAGAACTGGCAAGAGCTGCTCAGTGAGACCAAGCGCACGCAGTAGGCCCCCCACCCCACCCCGCAGCCACCACGCTGGGTCTGTCTGTGTGCAGAGCCACAGCAGGTGGAGCCTTCTCTGCCTGGCAAAGAAACAGTGACCCAAACACACAGCTGCATGCATTGCACCTGTTTCTCAATAAACTTATTTTCAAGCACATCCTGAGGACTCCTTTCTGTCCCCCCCAGTTCCATGTGAAACCTTGTGAACAAAATGTGGGGAGTGGAAGATGCAGATGCCGCCAATGAGTGAAGCACATGTAGTGACAAGCGTAGAATGAAAAGCAAAAAGGGCCAGCCAGGGACAAACCAGGCAGAGGGTGGGACGGGCTGCCGTGTTCAGATTTATTTTCCTTCCTGTGGAGGGTTCCAAAGTGGGCTGTGCCAGGTGCTCAGATATGTGCCCTATGTTCTCAGAATTCCCCTGAGTGACATGCCCATTATACCCCCTTCACAGGTGAGAAGACAGATGTCTCGCCCAAGTCCCACAGCTAATAAGAGGCAGAGCTGGGGTGCGCCCAGGTCTCATGTAAGAAGAGAGTTAGTGGGAGGTGGGGTGGGAAATGGAGGGGCTGAGCAGGTGGGAGAGACTCCACAAGGCTGCAGAAGGACATGAGCCCCAGCAGTCCTGGTCTAGGCTGGGGTTATGGGCAGGGGCTCCAGACAGCAGAGCAGTGTCACAGACAAGGGTTTCAGACAAAGGGGACCTAAGAGTTGTTTCTGGGAACAGCCAAGCCAGGTTCCCCAAGGCCTCAGGACGGGCAGAAAATCCCAGAGGCTAGCACGTTTTTCTGGAGACTTCTTTGTTCCCTGTTCCCTCTTCCCTCTTCCAGCCCCTCATGGGCTTCTTGCCTAGCTGGGAGCCCTAGGGAAGCCATCTCCTTCCTGGGCTCAGCAGTTGCCGACTCCTCAGCCAGCCAAGTCCGGTTCAGGGGGACGCCGGGGTCCCTGGCAATTTCCAGGCAGTGTGGTTGGTGCTGTGACAGGAGCCTGGCCGGTGGGAGTCCTTTGCCCCGAGGAGGGTTCCTGAGAGCAAGCTGAGGTACGGAGCCAGGACTCAGTAATAAAGCAGGAGGCACGTGGGTGTGGTAGGGACGCCCGCCACCAGCTTCCAGGCACAGGGAGCCTGGCTCTCGCAGGAGGGGAAGGAGGGCCAGACAGGAGGCTCATTGTAACAGAAAAGGAAAGTTGTCCCAGAAAGAAGAGCAGCCCCTTTCCCCTACCCCACCCGCCTCACAGCCTGGCCCAGAGTCTGCCTGAAGAGGGGCACGCAGTCCTGGCGCAGCTCAGAGGGAAGTCTGTAGCGGGTCCGAGGCGGGCAGAGTCAGGATGAACGGACAGAGGACCCCTTTACTCCCCAGGGGGAACGGCTGCAGCTCCTTGGCCTGGAACTGGGCCGTCCCCTCGGAGACCGTGAAGGTGGCCGTGACCTGGTGGTTGAGGCAGTAGATGGTGTTGCCCAGCACGGTGCAGCGCAGCGGGACAGGGTCCGGCAGGGGCAAGGGGGCGGCCCTGCTCCAGGAGCCGGTCACGGTGTTGTAGCGCATCACGGCGGCACCCACCCCCCGCAGCAGGTCAAAGCGGTACAGGAAGCCCCCCAGTGCCACCATGTCGCTGGAACGCCGGTGGCTGGCGCTGTAGGGGCACTCCTCCCAAGCATCCTTCACCGGGCTGTACCTGAGCAGGCGGTAGAAGAGGTGGCCCCCAGTGACATAGATGTCCCCACGGCAGGCCACAGCCTCGTGAGCCACAGGGAAGGTGCCTGCGGGGAGGGGCGCCCGTGAGGTCCAGGTGTCTGTGCGGGGGTCGTAGCGCTCCATGCTGTACAAGCACTCGCCACCGATGGCGTAGAGCAGCCCGTCCAGGGCCACCAGTTTGAGCTGGGCCCGGGCCTGCTGCATGGGCCGCACCTGGCTCCAGATGTTGGTCAGAGGGTTGTAGCAGAAGACCTCATTGGAACAGATGGCCTTGGAGCCGGAGCCACGGATGCCCCCTGCCAGGAACAAGTAGTTGTGCATGGTGCAGAGGCCACAGCCCCGCAGCGGGGCCTCTTCCGGCACCTGGGTCAGGAGCCGCCAGGTGTTCTCTTGGGGGTTGAACACGTGCAGGTGCGATGGAGGCGGCAGGGGCGCAGGACCTGTGGCGGGAGCCTCCTCCACTCGAGGGCCCCCTGTGAGCCCTGAACGGCTCACCTGGTATAGGCTGGGCAGCACGAGGACCCCCAGCACGGCCTGGCCCCTGCCAGTTCGAAGGCTCAGGATGCGCTCCCGGTCGGCCCCACTCAGCTGCCGGTAGAGGTTCGGATCGCCCAGCACGTGCAGCAGATTGTCGCTCATCAAAGCATAGGTCTCCTGGGCCAGGACGGGCTGCCCGTGCTGCTGGGCAAAGGCCAGGACATCCAGGCAGCTGCCCAGGTCCAGCCGCCGCTGCAGGGCTGCTGCCGAAGCCGGCTCCCGGGCAGGGGAGCTGGGCTTCCGGGGCCCCTCCACCACCCCCCAGGTCCCAGGCCTCTGCAGAAACACCATGAGTTTGCGGGCCTCTTTCTGCTCCTCTGTGAGGGCCTCCCTGCTGCCCGCAGGGCTGGGCCTCTTCCCTGGCGCCTCTCCTGGGGCCGCCTGGCTGACCTTCAGCTCAGAGCTCTTGGCTAGTTCACACACACTGTGTTTCCGTGGCCTGGGGACAGGCTGTGGGTCCCGCCGGGCAGAGGGAACGGGTGCAGGGCCAGGCTTCCTCTGCTCCGACAGCGACAGCGGAGCTGGGGCCCTGGGCACTGCAGCCTCGTTAGCCTCAGCGCTTCTGAGCTGCAGCTGACATCCTGCCTCAGCCAGGCCTCCCGTGCCAGCCCCTGTAGCCACCCCAGCTGGGGAGCCATGGCTGTCCTCGAGACTAGGGATGGCCCCTTCAGGGAGAGGACCAGACTCCCTGTTCTCCGAGGCTGTGGAAGTGCAGGGCTCTCTAGGGCTCTCTGGAGCTGCCCTTGGGGCTGTCCCTTGGGGCCTCTCTAGCCTGGGGAAGGGGTGACTCCTAAGAACCATTGAAATAAGATTTCCCCAGCTAGTTGAGATCTGCACCTCCTGGTTGCCCTTGCAAAGAGTTACACTAGGCTCCTGACTTGCAGGCTTTGACTTACTTGTGGGGACTGGGGCTGGGGCTGAGGCTGGGGCAGGGCCTTGGGCTTGGGCAGGGATTGGGGCTTGAGTTGCAGCTGGGGCAGGGGCTGGGGCTGGGGTTGCAGCAGGGGCTGGGGTACGGGTTGGGGCTTGGGTTGGGGCTGAGGCAGGGGCTGGGGTATGGGTTGGGGTTGGGGCAGGGGTTGCAGCTGGTACTGGGTCAGGGGTTGTAGCTGGGGAAGGGGTTACAACAGGGGCAGGGACTGAGGTGGGAGTTAGGAATGCAGCAGCAACTGGGGCTGTGGCTGCAGCTGGGGCAGGGGTTGGGTCAGGGGCTCGGGCTGTAGCTACAGCTGTGGCTGGGGTTGCAGCTGGGCCTGGGGCTGGGGCTGGAGCTGGGGTTGGAGATGCAGCTGGGGCAGTGGCTGGAGCTGCTGCTGTGGCTGCGACT